AATGTGACTGCTGTTTTCCATGGAGACTTGCACGTGGATACCGACGTTTCGAAGATACATATTGCCTCCATCTTCAGGGCGTTACAACCCAGATGACCGGAGTTCACGATCTCAGTCGGGGGGGGGGGATTGTTTGTCCCATGAGGCCTGCTACAATGACAGGGGACTGACCTGTCCGTCCGTCCGTCCGTCTGACCACTGCCTGTGGACTTCACGCGAGGTTCCAGATGCCCAGTCCTGCCCTTACAATGTCACTGGGATAAGCCAAGGATTACCAGAGACAGCGGAGGCTCGTGGTCCCTTACGCCTGGTTTCCGTTGTTCCCAAACCCGCAACTCAGTCAGCGCAGCGACTAATCAGCGGACAGGACTAACTCGGTTCGATTCCCGACACCACGAACACAGACTGGCTCTAGGGCTCACTCAACCTTAAAGCCTTATCTGCAATACGTAGAGAGCTGTCAGGTGTCAGCCCCCCCCCCCTCAACTGCAGGTCCATGTGCCGTCCGAGAGGCTTTAATTACGTCATTCCGTTGGTCCTGACACGAAAAGTATTCTCTATTCTTTAAGACCTGAAAGGCGATAGATCTATGACGAGCCGCCGCTGAAGGTGTGACGTCACAGCGTGTCTCACAACCCCCTCCCCCCTGAATGAGGGGAAGTGTCGAATTATTAGGGCATTACAGTAGCGCATGGCTGTTTGAAACACGACCCAACACTCTGTTATATTGCTCCTACAGGATAATGCCATTCTTTTAAGGATTTAGGACACTTATTGAAATATCTCTTCCCTTATATTGAAGATCCTTTCAATAGACTTACATGTTACCAAATTTAAAAAGAAACCATTCGAGCATTTCACGTATACACGGGACAGTTTCGTTGAAACATAAAACTCGTGGTTCGTCTTTCTGTGTTAAGCGGGACCAGACCTTTTTTCTCTCCAATTTTCATTTTAAAACGAAAACATGATAGAGAAAAATGTAAACTTTAGACAAAATAACACTTTTTTTAAAAAAATAAACGTTACCCTATTTCAGATATCAGAAAATTTTCATAAAGGTCTAACAGACCTGAGTATGATGACACAAGTCAATATTCTTGAAAAAACGTTTCATAAGCTTACAAACCTTCACGAATTTGAAGTTAAGGAGAATAAGTTTTACCCCCAGGCATTCTAAAACACACAGAAAACGTTTATTGAAACACTTCCAAAAATATTTTGAATCGTGGTGTAAAGAGATTGTCTACGCTATTCAGTCCAACTAATAAGTTAAATTCAATACAAACATTTGCCTTCAACCCTTATATCCTACGTTCGACATATCTCGTTTCAAGGCATTGGTCATTCTGATCTGCAATTGTTTTTTGACAACATCAGTGAATGAAACAACTTCCGAAATTTTTCAAAGAATTTTCTAATGCGATGTTTACGCGACAAACGGAGCTGATGGATGTATTTGGATGGATCAAGAATCCAAATTTTGGCTCAGATGTCGCCACTCACGGCTCTGTTTCCGCGATTTTCCTCCAGTAAAGAGAGCTTCTTCGTCGCGAACTCATCATTCTACTGTTGAAGGCTACAAACTTCAGAGTTAATAAAACGTCGTTTAATAAGTTAACAAACCAGTAAGAAGAGATTTCAGCTTGTAGGCTTATGACATGTTTTCATGACTACAAGAAAGGCTGCCTTACCCTATAATAAATTAAACACATTTAGGTTCGTTAGAGGCCTACATATAACATTTTTCATTGAAGAATAATATTAAACTGGATCTTATAAAATCAGGGTGGGGACTTGCATATTGGATTCATCACGAACGGACTTTTGTGAACACGGTGATGATAATTACGGTCCCGTAGAAAATTTAGAATTTATTGGCGAGCTGGGCGAATATCATCTTCTGAAGAAGACCTCTGTTTAGTCAAGTTAGGTTTCTTCGATTTCGACCGTGCGCAGGGGTAATTCAACTCCTGACTGTGTGCAGGGGTCTCGACCCATGACGAAGTATAACAACATCGCCATCTTGAGGCCCGGCTC